AAGACCCATTTGAGGACGACTTCCAATCAAGCGGACAAACACAGTTCTCATCATCATCCCAAGGCATAGGGTCGCAGGATAGTATCCGAGACTTTGCCAATATGGCCGACGAGGATCAGGTTATTCTCCGCGCGCCTTTCCAGCCGTCTTTCATCTCATCACGACACGCATCAGCAGACAAGGAGCACACCCCGGTTCCGGAATTCTTCATGCCTACGCCAGAGATCGCTAGTGCTCGGAACTCGAGTGGTCAGTCTTCGCGCACTATCCGGCCGGAGGATGCGCAGGTCAGGAAAAGAGTCATTCGTCCTGACTCAACCGGTATCAGATTTAGCTACCCGGGACAAGGATCAAGCGGCAAGAGAAGAGGACAGGTACCAGGAGATGCGTCGCAAATGCCAACTGTCGCTCAGAGATTCGGTAATACCGCACTCGAGTGTGCATATGGCATGTTCGCCTGGACATCGTCTGTCCTTGGGCTGGTGTTCCGGCTCATGAAGTACCCCATTGCCATAATACTGGCAGCTTATCTCGGCCTCGGCCTTGTGATCATGATCAAGAATATGATGACTCAGTCTATCACAGCATCTTTGTCGCCCATATGTCGAGTACCAGGAGTGTCCACTGTGTTACCACTCTGTTCGAGTGCCATCGACAGCGCACATGTTGAGTTTCAGGAGCTCATGAGCACGCAGGACAAGTTTGAGAAAGTCCTGGAAGACTCAGCGCAGGGTGTTTCGTTACCAATGGACATGAAGCGATCAGAAGCATCAGTACGGGATTTACGGACTATGGTCAAATACAGTGATCTACCTTCGCGCGACGAGCTGGTGTTTGAATTCGATGGCTATGTCGATACGGTCCGCCAAGTGTCTAGCGACTTGCAATCATTCAACACTCACGTTGGCAGCGCCGTTGACAATGTCATCAGCATCAATCGCTGGACGTCACGGTATATTGACTCCGTTGCCGCAAGTAGAGAAAGCCACAGCGGTCTCATAGCCAAGGTCTTCTGGCCTTTCCAGCCTGCTGTCTTCAATGAGCAATTAGTGGTGGACAAATACATCGAGCACACGGCTCTCGTATCGGATAAGATTGCCAGTCTCATCCTCGAGGCACAGATGACGCTTGGTTTGTTGAAACGAGCGGAAGATCATCTAGCGATGATACATGAAAACGTTGTCCGAAGCGATAAAGAAGTCAGCGACAAGCGCAGCGAAGTATTGTGGGATCTCTGGACGCTCGTGGGCGCTAACAACGGCCGCTTGCATAACCTCAAGGCCCAGCTCTCTCTCCTGCGACAGGTCGAGAGCCAGCGGACTTCGGCTGTCTCGCAACTCACCAATCTCATCCTTGACCTTGGAGACATTCAGACGAAGTTAAGTGATCTTCGCGATCGCGTCGCCGCGCCGGAGTTGTTGCAGGATCGTACTTCGATACCGCTCATTGTTCATATCGAGACGATCAATGCTGGCGTTGAGAGGCTGGAGACTGCGAGGAGCCGTATTCGAGCGGAGGAGAATGAGAGGCTACAGGCCGCACTTGCGAGAGCTAGGGAGGATGATCGGTTGATTGAGGGTTGAGCCTCTTAGGGGAATCTGGGTTATTAATGCCTGTAGTTCTTTCCATAGTCGTTATCTGGACAGCACGGGACGAGCGGGTGTCGGAGTTATGGAATTGTAAATTGTAACATGGGCCACGGAATTCTGTATTGCTAGCCTCTGATGCGCACAAATGACAATGTTAATTTCTCTTTTGTTTGCTCTTTCTAGGTGCTGTTGTTTGATTCAGTCGATTCCTCAGTGACCTGATTGACGACGATCGAAATATCATGCAAGGGGCTTCGCACGATCCATCCCATCCAAAATCATCATTTGTTAGCTGAACGGCCATCATTGATATGGGACGTCAAACTACATCTGCAAACTTGCAACGATTACTGCCAACTCAGGACGCGAACATAATTTGGAATTGGGAACTAAGTTACACATACCATTGTCCCCGTCTTAATCAGTGGCAATACCCACCGTGAAATACAAACATGGCTACCTGTCGTACCTTGTGTCAGCTTGCGTAGAACTAGGTATGATCAATCAACGAATTCTACATCGGCTGGTAGCTCAGCAGTGTAACCAGTCTTCACAAACTGCAGCAACTATTACCCCAGCCTCGTGGGAACTGAAATGAGCAGCACTACAAGTGAACAACTCGCTCTTCTGAAGTAACGCGACAGATACGAGGATTGATCACACCCGAGAACTCGGACTCGAGGTATCAGGAAGGGCACGGACGAAACTCGAGTATAAAGCAGGCGGCTCGTCAGCTGAAAATCTCATCAAGTTTCGTTATCTTCAACACTTCCGATATAGACTCACTCGTTTCCACATACGGCACGCTTCTCACTAGACCCGATCCTCGCCGATCCCACATCAATCCGTCAAGATGCCATCCTCGCTTCTCGTCAAACTCATCTTGGTCTCCGCCGCTGTCGTCCGTGCCGTGCCTCTCGAATCCGAACAAGTCAGCACAGAGGATTCAAGAGGGTGTGCACCAGACTACATGGCACCTGACCACAGCGTGTACTGCGGGTCACATGATGGACAGCCTGCCGTTGTAAGGACCTCGTTTCCTACAATCTAAGAGTTTTATGCTGACTTCGAATTTTCTCAGTTGGACTGTGAGTCCCACGACGCGCTGCACGTGTGTAGTGGGCTAGATAACGCATGCGCTATCAGTTGGGGATATGTGTTTTGCAGGATGCCGGCAGGTTGGGAACAGTGAGGCATGGTTCTATACGCCTGGAAATTACGAGGGTGAGGATGGGTTATTGGAAGAGTTTTGACGGTAATTTTGAATGCGTTTAATAGGTCGAGCTCACCTTCGGTTTTGGTACGGAGAGCAGCACATCAGTATTGGTACCATTAATCTGTCTTGGACGAGGTTTCGATTATACATCGTACCGACCTATGGTAATATCATCACTAGATCCTGTGAAGGAAGTAAGATTATCTGTTGCTTCATCACTTGCTTTACCTGACACTGTGTCCCTAATAACAACGATCGACATCATCTCTGATGCAAGGTGTAGATGAACCATTGGTTTCAACATGGACAATATATACAATATGTACAAATTGGTATTCGTGTCGCCTTGTATCATCTCCATGGTCTAACGCTATTCTGCCGTGTAATCGCCAACGCCAGGTTACAAATTCAAGATCTGTTTTACCTGAATTTGTTTTACATAAAGAGAGATTGAAGAGAGCTATTCAATGAAAATTATGTATATCAGTTGATACACAGACCGTGAAGCATGTTGTCAATAACTGCAGACGGTGGAAGCCATGCTGTCGGCGCTCAAGCCCCCAACTCAAGCAAGGGGTTCCAACTGTTGGCATCATCTACCAAAGTAGTGCTTGGCACGCAGGAACCGAAATGACTGCTGCTACTTCGAGACTATTTCTCTTGTGAGGCACTAGAGGCAACATAAACACGAAGTGACTATACTGGAGATTGGAATCAAAGCAAAACAGGAACAGATCAACGAAAATGGAGTATAAAATGAACCATCTCGTTCTTGTTTGTTCCATTGATTCCTCGCTTCATCGTTCCAATTTCACATTCATCAATCACGCTCATTTTCTGAACACACACTCGTGTCTCTAAGATCTGAAGCCTCTCTCGCCCTCAATCCACAAACCATACAGCCAACATGCAACTCTCAGCTCTCGTCCAGGTCTTCCTGCTCCACGCGGCCGCGGTCTACGCTGCTCCCGTCGAGGCAGACCATCCCAACACCCTTCAAACAAGGGAATGTCTCCCCGACTGGGGCACTGGCATAGGATCCTACTGTGGCTCATGGAATGGAAATCCCGCCATCGTGAGTGTTTTCTCTCGTTAACTAGTCACCGTCTCGGAACGTTAAGATTAATCTGCAATATCCAGCTGAATTGCGAAACCCACGAACTCGTCACAATCTGTCATGGAATCGGGGCTTATTGTTACAATGACCAGGGAGGTCTCATCTGCGAGCACTTCGGGGGCTAGAGAGTTTGGCTCGATGGGTTGACTTAGTGGTGCATGGCGTTATGCTCAACTCATCGGAGTAGCCATCGGCGACGTTCGAAGGAGAGAGGATCACTACGCAGTTTTACTTTCGCATAGAAGATGTTTTCAGAGCATCTATGTTTTTGAACTTTATTTACTAGTAATACACACTGCATTACTTATAGTCGTAACATTCATGAGACAGCTTGTCTTCCTATACGTCTTCATCAACGTCTCAAGACACAATCGGCATGTGCTGATGAGATCGGTAAGTATACTCTCTAACTGCTGCCTCTAGGCTCACTGGATCATCGGCTCTGGATGAAGCCTGTCCGAGCTGTGTATAACGCGCAGTTACAGTTTCTGTAGTAACAGGGACAGGAAGTGGAGTGGTATTGCAGCGGTGGCGCTAATGCTGCCGTCTGTAGAAGAGCCGCGCGACATGGTACGCTTGATTTCGCGGTCAAATCGCAACTGGTGAGCCCGCTGGGCAATTCGCTTGATGATGGTGTCAGGCATGATAGATCTCTAATGGCTCTGTTGCATTTAATTTGGCTAACGTCGTCGTTGATGAGATGGGCATAGGATCCTCATCGAGGTTCATTCACTCCTTCTTTCATCATTCATTATGGTCTAGTCGCAACGCGAATTGCGCTGTCGAAGTGCGGTTCATGCGGACTCTGGTCGCCGGCTGTCAGCTGCAAAGGATGTCAAACAATCCAGTATACCCAAACCTTTTGGAATGCCATTTCTTAATTGAAGAAACTCATTTGCAGTATTTATCAAGGGAAAAAGCTCGTCTATAAGTGGGGTAGATCGCGTGCGGGAAATGGCTTACCCCGCATGAGTAGCACTGTACGATACGACAACGCACACGACACATGAGGTATTTTCTAGCAGAGCCCTGATACATATATAAAAAGCTATAACAGGCGGGAATGATAACACAGTAAGGCAACGTGACGGAGTGGTTAACGTGATTGACTAGAATTTCTCTAGCTTATCAATTTCCTTCGGGAGCGTCTGTTCGAATCAGGCCGTTGTCGTCTACTTCATTTTTTTGCATTCTTGACCCCCATTCTGTCAAACATTCTTTCTTTTTCCTCAGCACCGTTGCCTCACAACTGGCTGAGAGGCCATGATTTTTCCGTCTCCCAGTAGAGCGCTATCTCGCCAAGACAAACATGACAGCTTTACTGTACATGAATCCAATGGTCAAACCGTCTTCCCAAGGGAGAGCGTTCGTATTTTGCTTGAGCTGGATTTAGTTCCCACTATTTGCATTGCATTTTGTTGGTTTCAGCTGGCGCCGCCGATCAACTTGGCATCACAAAGCCTCAGAACGATCGTCTCCCAATTCGGCAGTACCCTTCAAGATGGCGTCGGCACGGCCTGGCACGCTTCGGCATAATTAGCAACTCGACATCGTTATTTCGAATTGCCTTGGACAACGGTCTGCTTGGCATCGCAGGGCTGAGAATCCTTAACTCAAACACCTGCCTTTCATGACTTCTTGAATGCAACGAGTTTCGACACCGTCGTGCTATTTCAGTGTTTACAGCGAATCACAATGCCTCGTTCGACAATATGTGCCCCCCTGCGAGTGTCAAGTTGCATCATACATGGGCTGCCGATTGCCCATGTCAATCAGATCGACCATGCATTTGATGAAATAGGCCCAGATGTTCGCGCGATTGAGCGTACGCTATGATCTGGACATAAATGTCGGCCCTGGCCGCCTGCAGTCATCATAGTTCGGAATTTTCTCAATTCTCGCTACCATAGCAAAGCGCCTCGATTCGACGACATCTTCAAAATGGTCTTCTCACTCTCGTCCAAGAAACTTGCCCTTGCGGCCGCTGCCCTGTCAATAACAGTAGACGCGCGGTCCATATTGAAGCGTGACCCTCCACCAGCACTCCCAGGTTGCGCTACAGATGCCGACAAACAATGGCAACCAGGTATGCCGTGGTTTCCGTGAAGCCATAGCGGAACTGTCAACTTACTACTCACCAGCCATGGACTTCGACACCGACGGGTGCTACAACAGTCCCGCGATCGACGCCAGCGGCAACCTCGCGACGGGACTGAGCTGTGGCGGAGCCAAGAACGGTCATTGCCGTGATCTATCAGATCTGCAGAACAACAATGTCTATTCGCGCGCTCGTTGCAACAATGGATGGTGTGGGTATTTGTACGGCTATTATTTCGAGAAGGATCAGACTGTCGACGGCTCCTGCGGAGTCGGCCACAAGAATGATTGGGAGCATATTGTAGTTTGGGTCAAGGACGGCGATTCGATGCCCTCCTATGTCGCTGTGTCGCAACACAAAGGATTCGAGGTGCGCGCAGCCGCCGATGTGAGGTGGCAAGATACCCATCCCAAGGTCATATATCACCAGGATGGTGGCTTGACACACGACTTCCGTTTCGCGAATGAAGACGACGACAACATTGAGAACCACACTGGAGCCTGGTTTGTAAGTGCCGATATTTGTGATTCTGTTCGGCTGCTCGGCTGCGCTGGAGCTAAGGGGCTAACCTGTGGTGTAGTTCGGCGATGTGGTTGGTTTCCTCGGTTTCCCTTCGGCCGATCTCCGTGACAAGATGAACAATGCCGACTGGGGTGCGGGACTTCCGGATATCAGAGAAGACGTTTTCCCTGGCAAGCTGGAAGATTCTAAGGGTGGTAATGACATTCCCACTGATACGAGCGTGGACAATGAGAACTCGCCGGGTCAGCCGGTTTGCTAGATTCTTGTCGCTATACACGCGACCCTGCCCCTGTCAGAACAGGAGGGGGAATTGTACATGAATTAAAGAATAAAGTCAGTTCGATGGGCTGTTGCTCAGTCTGTCGACAATGAATCAGCGACGTGATATCCCCAGACCTTGAACACGTGCATCGGTCGATTCTGTCGCATATTTTCTACTTCTGAGCCAGGCGCACCTTTGAATGCTGCGGATCGCAGGATTCGGTGGCCCAGCATATGGAGCGTGTTGCAGCGTGGAGCCCCAGTAGCTTATCTGCTTCGGAAGTTATGAGGTGCTCCTGATGCTCCTGACTGCTCCGAGAGTCACGTACCTGAGCCACTAACGATGTCTTGTGGCTACTGCCTTATAAGATACGATACTCAAAGTTCAACGGCAAAGTATAAACTCAAGCTGTGCGGTCACGTTGGAGGTCGCTTTGTTTACGTTTGGACATCAGGGTCCATCTGATATCAGACATGAGTGCACTACAGGGCCTTCCTCATTATACTCAATCTGAATCTCGCTTTCCCACACAATATGGCGAGCGACTTTCTGCAGCAACAGACCTTCATCTGCTACAAACCAAATCAAAAACAATCCTTCCCATTAAGCACGTCCGCAACACGCTCCTTCTTCCCACGACGTACGCTGCTACCTCACGTTTCCTGCATGTCCAATGACAAAACTTTCCCAAGTTGGACATTCTCACAAGATCCGTGCATCCTGCTTTTCATACCGCACATAAGAACATTTTGACGTTTTTGGGGGTCCCGTCATTCATAGTTCTCGTCACCCATTTGCCCAGACAGAGGAATATCCAATAAGCTTATTCATCCCTTATTGTCCGTCGCCAAACCGCAAGCATGTCTCATCAGGACGCTTTGGTCAAATCTCCAACCGGGATGGAGAACAAGGAATTAACCGAGGAAGAAATGAAATCAATTCAAGACCAGCAGGACCGGCAGAATTTCTACCAGACGGAAATGAACGTAAAACTGGTCCTGGGTCAATCTAATGAAACATTGGCTCACCTTCCTGGGAGATACTGGAATCGATACCCGGTTAGATGGAGCATGGGAGTAATGTACCATCTAACATGTTTACAATCCTATATGATGGACCCTGGGAGGATCGATTACATCCTTCTGTACGACCAGCTCATGGATCGGGAAGTCTTCACATCCGTCTCCAACATCACAGCGCCACCTCGTATGGTACCAGCCATGGTCCCGGGGTTGAAGTTCATGCGGGAGCGAGGAGTACCAGTTCTGGTGCCTCACGAGGAGTTCGAAGGTTATGGCGTCGCTTGTCGCTTACAATGCCCCATACAACTTATCAATATTCAGCTGTTCCTCGGCTGGTCTTTGAAACCCGCTCTGCGCCGGATCACGATTTATTCAGAAGATTGGGGTGCCCAGCAGGTAAATGCCATCGTATTTATCTGGGCCTCCAGACCGAGCCGCTTCCCACTGACAGACGGACTCTTTGATCTTGCGGCGTATATGCGCAGTGAGGCAAAAATACAAGACTTGGAGTGGAGAAACCACAAGTACCATGCCGATGATGCCATTCCCTACCTCTTCACAATGTCGGAAGGCTTCTCGGACGTCAAATGTGTTCACCCTCAACCTCCTATTGAAATCCATCCAACTCCCATGAAGAGTTAGTTTTTTGAAATGGGAAAGGGGACAATAGAGGCAAAGGATGACCAGAAAGAAGGACATGACCCGGAAGAGGGACATGATGAATCGGGAAAGGGGATAATGAAGACAAAAGAAGACCCGGAAGAAGAACTTGATGAAGTGGAAAGGGGGATTGTTGCAGTATACGGACCATCTCCTGGTGGTCTATCTTAAGGGATATAGAAGCATGAATTCGTACGAGGGCCTGTATAGATATACTTGTTTCCGTAAACATGTATAGAGAACTCAATATGAGATAATTGGATTCCACCGGGCTTCCGTACTATTGTACGTAGCCCATCCAACAAGGATGATGGAGACAAAGGATGACCCGAAAGAGGGACATGACCGATGAGCGCTTTGAAAAGATCAGCATTAGCACTCAGCAGGGCTAATTGCGATCAGATTAATGCGAAAACATAACCAGTAGATTATCTATACTAAGACGCCAGAATACAATGTCCCGGCGCTAGGCCGTGTATTTATGACCACAGTATTGTCAGCCATGCCCACTTCCGTTTCGCCCCATCGTCAACTTCTTCTGCGGCCTCTTCTCTCTGAGCAATGTCTAAAAAGTGCCGAACGGGAACCTCGTCCAAGGAGAGAATCTTGGAGCGCTTGACGACTTTGAAACCAAAATATAGAGCAATGAATATAGGTATGTTGATATAGCTTGAAATGAATGTCTCTGTCGACCATCTACAGATAATATAACACATTAATAACTGAGCATCTGTGCTGTTGTGTGATGTAGAATTGCTATCACTTACTGTCCATGGATGAAGGTAGAGAAACCGCCGGTGATGAGCAGTAGAACCTGCAGGGAAAGTGCCCACCACGTCAGATACGGCTGCAGAGGGGACGCCCAAGGCAAGAGATCTCGAGATATCGACTGCTTCCTGCAGGCATAGTAGAATCTCAAGTATACAGTCGTAATGACAATCCAGTCCACAAGTGTCGAGATTGACACCAGGTCTTGCAGCCAGTCGAAAGCATTGGAAGCCGAGCTGGATAAAGACAGATACGCCAGTCCGATGAAGACGCCATAGAACAAAACCGAGTAGTGCGGAATTCCGAACCTATTGGTCCTGGTGAATATCCTAGGTGCTCTTCCTTCTTGAGCCATGCCGTAGAGAATGCGAGAGCCCCAGAGAAGAACCGAGTTGCCCGCTGACCACGCAGAAGTCAAGACGACGGCGTTTATAATGGACGGTACCACTTTGATTCCGGCGAGAGTTGCGGCGATCACAAACGGGGATTGGGCTGCGTTTCCAGTCGAATGGAGGAGATTCGGATCGTCTGAAGGGACTATCAAACCAACGAAGAATATCGTGATTACTACAACAATCATCAACGTCGTACTCAACAAGCGTCGCTAGTGCTTTATCCTCTCGTCAATAACTTACCGTAGAAAATCAAGATTTTCCAGAACACCCGCTTTGCTGCCATGGGTATCGATGTACGAGGCGAACGTGTTTCTCCTGCCGTTAATGTGATATTCTCAATGCCGGAGTAAGCATACAGAGAGCTGTTCAGAACCCTGTAAAACCCCAGAAACCTTCCAATGGCACCATCAATGCCAAGGTATTGAGTGAATGGACCCGGGTTGA